ACTTGAATGGATGCATTGGTGTAGGCTCCTCAAAAGAGATGAGTGGGCATCCTACAACTTTTCATAATTTTGCAAGGAGAAATGTTACCTGTATACCACTGAGATTTTTTTTTTTTTTTTTTTAAAAAACCACCCCTTTTCCCCTGACGGGTTCGGCGCAAGGTTTCCTTTGCTTTGACCACCACAATAACATTTTCTGTCCTTCTCAGGCGTTTTGCTCTGTAAAAGACACTGAGAGCTCAAGAAACAAGGCTGAAGAAAAAGAGGTGAGGACATGTGTCTTACAACCTTCAGTATGGCTGGTTTTTAGGAGTGGGGTCCTAGGGGAAAAAGACTGGGAAAGGCATGAAAGAGGTAACACTTCACACTTATTGTTAAGTAATAATAAATCACTGCAGCCAAGTAATGTTGCTAGGATTATACAACAATAATAAACTCTATAAACATTAAGAAGAGACCTTAGCTTTAATGGACAACAATCACTATGATATAAATGGTAAAGGCTAATAAACTGAAAAAGTCTTCACAGCAGATTGGGTGGATTTTGGAGTTAAACAGATTTGGGTTCAAGTCCTGGTTCAGTTACTGCAGAGCTATGCTACTTCAGGCAAGTTTTTATCTTCTTTGGGCCTCTGTAAAGCATCCATTAAAAGCATCTGGAACACACTGGTAACTCACCCAGTGGTGATGGTGGTAGCAGTAGGGGATATTGTTGCTAAATTCCACTTGTATTTTTAGCTGTACTATTAATGTCTTACTTAAAAAATAATGACTTCCTGGGGTCTCTTCCAGCTCTAGTGTTCTAGTATTTCTCACCTAAAGGACAGTCTGCCCAAACGTGGTCCATTAGGTCAGGGGTAGCATCAGGAGATGGTTAGAACTCTCAGGAAGGGCGCAACTGCTCTGACGATAGTCATAGGTCCTCATAAAACCATGACTCAAATCACCCAGCAAAATGAGCTGCTCATTTCACAATTCCAAAAGACTAGGTTGTCTGGGTGAGCTCACTTGCATCTGTGGAGAGTCAGGGTTTCACACCAGGGTTTGCACAGCAGAGTTGGGTCAGATAGCTGCTCCGAGGTCCACTCAGTTGAGGAGCACAGTTCTTTTCAGTGCATTTTCCCTCCCAAGCATGATAACCCATACAGAAACTTTTAAAAAAATTAGTAAAAAGCACATTCCCTTGGATAGATGTCCTACTGCTGGGTGAAGGAAGGGCTTGATGAGTGGGTGGGAGTTGAATATCAGCTTTGTGCAGGGCACAAGCTATAAAGCCCTGTGTAGTAGCTCTGTCCACTCCCCAGAATTTTTCTGTGAGCTGCACAGGTACAAAGAAGAACAGAATTATTAATTGAAAAGATATTAGGACTGGAACGCATCATAGAAGTCATGTACTTTAATCTCCTCAGTTAATAGATGGAGAAACAGATGAGTAAAGTGATTTGCCCAGAGACAGGCTTAATGTGTATCATTTATCATATGAATTGAGAGTATTCCAAAAGTTGCTTTTAAATATTGATGGTAATATCTTATGACACATGTACGAAAGGTATAATGAATAATGCAATGAATACCATTTAACTCCCTCCTCCCAGTGTAAGAATCAAACCATTACCAAATCAGCTGATGTCCCCTACGTGCCTTCCTTGAGCACACCCCCACCCGGTTCTGAGAGAGGACCACTGTCCTAAATTAGGTGTTCTTGATTCTTATGTATTCATTGTTTCATTACATACAATATCTTTTTTTGTCATTATTTGTTGCAAGCTTATTTTTGGCATAATGTTTACAAGATTCATTTATTTTAGGTGGAGAGTCAGACCTAGTTGATTCATTTTCACAGCTGTTTATCCACTTATCCTGTTGATGGGTCCTTCCTTCCTTCCTTCCTATTAAAAATAATATTGAAGTGACCCTTTTTATAGAAGTCTCTATCTTACATGGATAAGAGTATCTGCAGTTCTGAGCCATTCAATATGGTAGCCATTCGGGTGGCTAGTGAGCACTTAGAATGTATTTAGTTTGAACTGAGATGTGCTGTAGGTGTAAAATACACACCGAATTTCAAGAACTTAATATGACAAAAGAATGTAAAATATTAATTTTTATATATTATTTTTGTTGAAATAATGTGTGGTATTTATCATATATTAATATATAGTTCATACTTATTGTAGTTATATGAGGGTACTTCAAAAAGTCCATGGAAAAATAGCAGTGAAAGATATTATGTATCTTTCCATGAACTTTTGAAGTAACCTCATCTGTCAAATTGATGACATTCTTGAAATGTTGGGTTAGATATAATATAAAATTAAATTAAAATCTATCTGTTTCTTTTTACTTTTAAAAATGTGGTTACTAGAAGATTTAAGATTATGTAGGTGGCTTACATTATATTCCATAGGATAGCACTAGTCTATAGTATACCTGAGAGGTAGGGTATATGCATGTCCAACTTTATTAAATATTGCCACATTATTTGCAAAAGCGATTATGCCAATATTTATTACCTTCAGCAGTGTATACAGGCCCATTTCATAACAGTTGTCCAGGGAGAGTCGGGGCTGAAATCCCACTGGCCTTACAATCGCCAGTCATTCATTTACACACATTATATCTATATTTATAGCTATAGTTACAGATATTTATATATTTTCTGTACCTATTGGTGTTCATATAGTTCTTTTCTTTATTAATGGAGTGAATTACATTAATAGAATTTCTAATGTTGTCATTCTTGCATTTGTGGATGAATAATGAACTTGGTCATGATATTTTAAAAATTATGCAGTATTGAACTGGATTTGCTAGTATTTTGCTGGGAGTTTTAAAATAATGTGTACTATAAACAAGATCAGTCAGTAATATTTTTTTCTCATACTGTCCTTGTCCAGTTTTGTTATCAAAATAACACTAGACTCATCGAACAAATTGGGGACTATTTCTTTCTTTTCTATTCTCTAGAAGAATTTATGTAAGTTCAGAAACATGCTTCAATTTGGGGTAGAATTTGGATTAAAACTCCTTGGGCCTGATGATTTTTTTTGTGTGTTTCTTTTTTCTTTGGTGGTTTAGATTTTTTATTACTTGGTGAATTTCTTTAACAAGTATAAGGTGCTTTTTGGCTTCTTGTTTAGTCAATTTAAAGTAATGTTTTAGGTCTATTTTCTGTTTACTTTGTTTACTAAAATATCATTGGAATATAGTTGTTCATGATTTCCTTTACTGCCTTTTAAGATCTCTGTTTTATCTGCAGCAATGCCCCCCATTGTGTTTCCAGTGCTGTTTCTTTTTATTCTCTTACTTTATCAATGTTTTCAAAGTGTGATCTATTTTTATGTCTTTGTAAAGAAGCTACTTGTTATACTCTCTAACATTATTTTTATTTCCTACTTCAATAATTCCTACTCTCATGTATTCTTCCTTAACATTTTCTTTGTGGGCGGATTGATGGCTGGGATGATTATGCTTTTCTTAACCCAAGTTGAAAGCTTAAGCCATTAATTTTCTAACTTTCTTATTTCCCAGTTTAAGTTTGTAATTGTATCAAATTCCCCTGGAGAAATACTTTAGTTGTAGTTGCATCCCACAAATAACCTTTAAAAAATGTTTTTAAAAAAGCTGGATATTTCCATTTTGGATTTTTATGGGCTTATTTTTCATTTACAAATTTTAAAAATTGAAGTACAGTAAGAAGCACAAATTTTTAACATACAGTTCTATTAACTTTTGTGAAGTGAATATACCCATGTGACTGTGAACCAGATAAAGATATAGAACTTTGCCAGCACTCAGGAACACTTCCTCCAAGTCATTATCCAGTTACCACCCAAAGGTAACTACTGTTATGCTGGACTTTTATCATCATTGATTATTTTCATCATTTTTTTGGTACAATATTGTGTCTGTGATATATAGTCACATTGTGTGTATCAATAGTTTATTTTTGTTGCTGTGAATATTCTATTTTACAACTACGTCACAATTTGTTTACTCATTTTTCTGTTGATAAATAAACACTTGGTTGGTTTCATTTTGGGCTATTATGAATCAAGTTAGTATGAACATTCTTGTACATGTCTTTTGTTGCAAATATGAAGTCATTTCTCTTGGATTTTTACCCAGAAGTGGAGTTGCTGGGCTGTAGGGAGTATGTATGGTTAGCTATAGTGGATGCCACCAAATAGTTTTCTAAAATGGTGGTACCAATTTACATGCCACCAACAGTGATTAAAAGTTCCAGCTGCTTTGCATCTTTGTCAACTTTTGGTACTATCCTTTAAAAAATTTTTATTCTTTCTAATGGGTGTATAGTGGTATCTTGTAATTTTAATTTGCATTTCCTTAATAAGCAATTATGTTGAGCACCTTTTCATATGCTTATTAGTCACTTGGAGAGCTTTTAAATGAAATACTTATTGAGTCTTTTTCTCATATTATTTCCCTTGGGTTGTCTATCTTTATCTTATTAATTAGTAAAATCTCTTTGTATAATCTGGATATGAACTTTTTGTCAGATATAGGTATTGGTAATATCTCTTCTCACTCTGTCACTTACGTTTTTACTCTCTTAATGACGATGCCATTTGATGAACAGAATTTCATAATTTTAATGACGTCTAATTTATCAACATTTTTCCTGTGGTTAGTGCCTTTTGGGTCCTGTTTATAAAATCTTTGCCTACCTTAAAGTCATGAAGATAGTTTTTTATGTTATCCTCATTCCACTTGCTGAAATTTACACCATTTACATTGCATTTACTTTACATTTACATTGTCAGTGGCACCTTTGTAATAAATCAGGTGACCCTATATAAATATGAATCTGTTTCTGGATTCTCTGTTCTATTCCATTGGTTTATTTAGTTCTCCTTGTGCTAATACTAAACTGTCTTAGTAACTATGGCTTTATAATAGGTCTCAGAATCTGGTAATATACGTCCTCAGCTTTGTTACTTTTTATCACCATTGATGGCTACATACATTTTAGAATCAGTTTGTCAGTTTCACAGAAAACTTACTATCATTTTTATTTAGATTATATTGAATCTAAACATCAATTTCAACAGCATTCACGTGTTTATGGTATTGAATTTCCCAATTCACAAAAACAGTACATTAATTTATTTATTTAGGTCTTTAATGTCTTCCAGTGATGTTTTGGAATTTTCTGTATGAACAGCTTTCACATCTTTCATTACATTTCACAAATTTTAACTCAAAATTATAGTTCACATATAAGTATTTTAAAATTTAAAGTATGATTTCTTTGTTTTTTGCCCCATAAGTTATTACACCTTGTTTTTATATTTTGTTTTGTTTTAGTTATCTTGCTACTGATTTCTAACAATTGTTTTGTAATAAACAACTTGTTTTATAAGGTACTGTTTCTTTAAGATTGAAGACATGCTATATTGCCTTGTAAGTGATCAATTTACTCTGTAAAGCCGTGTAACTTTGCCCCATAAGTTATTACACCTTGTTTTTATATTTTGTTTTGTTTTAGTTATCTTGCTACAGATTTCTAACTTAATTGTTTTGTAATAAGCAACTTGTTTTATAAGGTACTGTTTCTTTAAGATTGAAGACATGCTATATTGCCTTGTAAGTGATCAATTTACTCTGTAAAGCCGTGTAACTGATAATATTCTCTGTTTTGTTGCTTGTAGACTTCTATATACCACTTAGAGCATACTTGTTTATTCTGTTGCTGAAGTTTTTTATATTCTTAACAATATTTTTTTCTACTTGATTTATCAGTTACTAAATGAGATGTGTTAAAATCTTCTATGACAGTTGGTTTGATAATTTCATCTTCTATTTCTGTCACATTTTTGCTCAATATATTTTGAGGACATTATTTGGTACTCTGATTTTTAAAAATTTAATATCTTTCTAGTGAATTAAACTTTTTCCCAATATGTATAACATTTTATGGTTTAAATATTTTTGTTGCACATAATCATATCTATGTGAGCCTTCTTTTGGTATTTTCCTGGAATATATTTTTCAATTTTTTATTTTTAACTCTCTGTGTTTTAATCATTGCATATGTCTTTTCAAAATGAAATGTCACTCTCCACTACTATTTTTACTATTTTTGAAGTCAAAATTTTATATTCATTCTTTCAGAGCTACACATATTTTAATCTATGTACTTCACTTAAAGATTAAATTTAATAAATAGCTTTATCCTTCTTCTGAACAATGCACAAATTTTGGAATATTTGAATTTTAAAAGCTCTGCTTCTACCTTAAGTTATTATTATTCAATATTTTTTCTGTTATCATATTATATATTCCAAAATTGGACATTGTCATTATTGTGTAATATGTTTGTATTTGTTTAGATTTGTTCATATTTGCCAATTTCTTTGCTCACTGTACTTTTTTGGACTCCAGCTTTCCTTCCAGGATTATTAAGCTTCTTTCTGTAATACATTTTTTTGAAATTTCTTTTTTTAATTGTAGTAAACCCCCCCCCATTAAATCTACCATCTTAAACCATTTTTAAATGTACAGTTCAGTAGTGTTAAGTATATTTACATTGTTGTGCAACAGATCTCTAAAACCTTTTCATCTTGTGAAACTGAAACTCTATACCCCTTAGACATTAATCCCCCCTTTCTCCTCCCCACAGTCCTTGGCATTAACTTTTCTACTCCTGTTTCTATGATTTTGATGACTCTAGATACTTCATACAAAGAGTAGAATTGTACAGTATTTGTCCTGTTGTTACTGGCTTACTTTTCTTAGCATAACATCCCTGAGATTCATTCATGTTGAGACATTAACAGGATTTCCTTCATTTTAGAGGCACATAATGTTTCATTGTATGTATGTACCATATTTTACGTATTTATTCATCTGTTGGTGGACATTGGGTTGCTTCCACCTTTTGGATATTGTGAATAATGCTTCAATAAACATGGGTGTGCAAATATTTCTTTGAGATCCTGTTTTGAATTCTTTTAGTATATATCCTGTTTTTGAATTTATTTAGTGGGATTGCTGGATTATATGTTAATTCTATTTTTAATTTTTTTGAGGACACTGTGTACAGTTTTCCATTACATCTGCACCATTTTACATTCCTGTCAACAATGCACAAGGGTTCCATTTTCTCTGCATCCTCACCAACATTTGTTATTTTCTGTTCTTTTGATAGTGGCCATTACAATGGGATGAATTAATACCTCACTGTGTTTTTGATTTGTATTTCTCTTATGATTAGTGATGTTGAGTATCTTTTCATATGCTTGTTAGTCATTTGTATATCTTCTTTGGAGAATTATCTAAGTCCTTTGCCTATTTTTAAATTGGATTTTTCGTTCAGTTGTTGTTGAGTTGTGTAAGTTCCTTATATATTCTGAATATCACATCTACTCTCTTTAGTTCCACTTTCTATGAAATATCTCTTCATTTTTAGGCTGTGTTTGTCCTTAACTTGAAAGTGAATCTCTTGGAGACAGCATATAGTTGGATATAGTTTTTTTTAAATCTATTCAACCAATTTATGTCTTTTGATTGGAGAGTTTAATCCATTTACATTTAAAGTAATTACTGATAAGGGAGGACTTACTGTTGACATTTATTAGTTGTTTTCTGTATGTCTTATAGCATTTTAGTCCCCTCTTTCCTCTCTTGCTGCTTTCTTTTGTGCTTTATTGATATTCTTTGTAGTCTCATGTTTTGATTATCTTCTCATTTCCCTTTAGGTATACCCTATAGATTTTTTGTTTGTGGTTACCTATATATTTACTATATTTGCCTATATGTTTACTTTTACCAGGCAGTTTTATATTTTCATATGGTTTTATGCTGTTATTTATCATTTTTTTACTTCAACTTGAAAGACTCCATTTAGCATTTCTTGTAGGGCAGGTCTAATGGTGATGAGCTCCCCAGCTTTTCTTTATCTGAAAAAGTATTAATTTCTTCTTTGTTTTTGAAAGAACATTTTGTTGGATATAGTATTCTTGGTTCATGTTTTTTTTTCTTTTAGTACTGTGAATATATTAGCCTACTCCCTCTAGCCTTCAAGGTTTTGCTGAGAAATCCTCTTATAATATAATAGGAGCTCCCTTGCACATGTCCCATTTCTTTTCTCCTGACACTTTCAAGATTCTCTCTTTGTCTGTGACTTTTAGAAGTTTGATCATGATATGTTTTGGTGTAGGTTTTTTTGTTTTTAATCTTTATCCTAGTTGGAGCTCTTTGAGGTTTTGAATTTCTATGTACATTTATCTCCTCAGATTTGGGACATTTTCAGCCATTATTTCTTCAAATAGACTCTCTTTTTCTCTTTCTGAGACTCCCATAATGTGTGTTCCATTTGATGATGTCTCACAAGTCCCTAAGGCTCTGTTTACTTTTCTCCACTCTTTTTTTTCCTCCTCTCCCTGAGTAATTTCGAATGTCGCATCTTTCAATGCACAGATTCTTTCTTCTTCCTCATTAAGTCTGCTGTTCAATCTCTCTAGTGAATTTTTCAATTAAGTTATTCTATTCCTTAGTTCCAGAATTTCTGTTGTGTTCTTCGTAATCTCTATCTCTTACAGATTCTTTCTTCTTCCTCATTAAGTCTGCTGTTCAATCTCTCTAGTGAATTTTTCAATTCAGTTATTCTATTCCTTAGTTCCAGAATTTCTGTTGTGTTCTTCGTAATCTCTATCTCTGTTAATATTATTGTTTTGTCCACATATCATTTTCCTGATTTCATTTAGTTGCCAATCTAAGCTTTCTTTTAATTTATTGAGAATTCTTATGATGGTTATTTTGAACTTTTTGTCTGATAATTTATATATCTCCATTTCTTTAGGGTCAGTTTCCATAGATTTAATTCATTACTTGGTTGGATTATGTTTCCGATTTCTTTGTATTTCTTGTCACCTTCTGTTGGTCTTTGGCATTTGAAAAATTGGCCACCTCTCCCAGTCCTTGTGATTAGGTTTAGTACAGGAAGGGCTTTCTCCAATCAACTAGCTAGAGATTATGGAGATCTCTCAAGACGTTTCTGGGTCTGTGTCTTCTCTGGGTTTGTGCACGTACTCTACTAATTGAAGAGTTTTGTCAGTTTCTACTTAGGAACTCCTGAATAGAAGCTCCCTGTTGTCTCTCTGTGCTACAGCAGACTCTGGTGAATGTTGACCATTTTTGTTCTTGGCATCCCCCAACCTCATACCCTGTTCCTTTCAGCACTTTGATTCAGGCAAGACAGAAAGCATTCTCTCAGGTAGCTTGCCCAAAGGTCAGGATGCTGGGCATATGTTCCACTTTTCTGTTTCTGTCCTCAGGGAGAAATCAGGTGTTGGGAGTTTTCTCCCAGTCATACAGTGCTGTGTCATAGAGAGGGGCTCTGAGGAATGAGTGTCAAGAGTTTTCCTGCCGGGCTTCAATGCAGTTAGCTTCACACTTATCTGGGCTATAGGAACCTCTTAATTCCTTTCTGGATTTCTCACAAAGGCAGTTTATCCTTATTTTGTTAATTCTCTATGGGGGAAGGAGGTCAGGGCTTTTTATCTTACCATCTTGCTGATGTCGCTTCTTGAAAGTTTGTTTAGTAAAGATTTACATGTAATAGATGCTGTCAGGTTGTGTTTGCTTTGTTCTTGAGTGAATGCTTAGCTGTATTTTGAATTCTAGGTTAATATTTTTTCTCAACCCTTTGAGGATACCATTTTACTCTCCTCTTTTAATGTTGCCATTGAGAAGTTGGTTTAATTGGCATTCTTTAGTAGGTAATCTATCTTTGGCTGCATTTAAATTTTGCTCTTTGTTTTTATTGTTCCTGAATTTTACTACAATGTGTCTAGGTGTGAATATTTTTTATTTACCCTGATTTTCACATACTGTGCTTTTTGAATATAAAAGTTCATACCTTTTATCCATTCTGAAAAATTCTTAGCCACTTCACTTTTTGAATAACATAATTCCCCTTTCTTACGTTTTGGATGGATGCTAGAATTCTTACTCTATTGTCCATATTTCTTAATTTCGTATGTATTTTCATCACATTTTGTCCTTGTGCTGAATTCTGAATAAATTATTCAGCTTGATTTTATTTAGTTCACCAATTTAGCAGTGCCTTATTGGCTGTTTAGTCCATCTATTGAGCTTTTAATTTCAATGCATATTGAATATTTATATCTAGATGTTATAGTTGATTATTAAGCCATCCTAAAAGTTGTTAATAGTCTCTTATTCCTTAAACATATTTTGAATAGTTTTTTGGTTAATATTTTCAACACACTCCTTTTTAAATATGATGTCTGACAGTGCCAACATTTAAATTCCTGTGGGTCTAAAATGGCTGTTTGCTATTTTTTTCTGATTCTTGATGTGGGACTTATTTTCTCATGATTTGTAATTTTAGAATATGACCTCATATCTGGCTGATAATCAGTGGGAGTCCAGTGAGGGCTATGATGTAGTTACTAGATTTCTAATAAACATAATTTTTTTCCTGTACTAAGTTCCTGGGATGTTTCCAACCCAGGGATACTTATTAATTTTTTAGCCTTTGGTTTCCTAGACCACAGAGGTAGTATAACTTGAAACCCCAAACCTGTTTGATAGGAGGCATTTCCTCCCTCCATTTGCAGATCAACTTGCTCACAACTGGCCCACTGGAGAATTACTCACTGTGTCTTTTTCTTTACCTCAATCCATCCTTCCCCACAGGCTCCCCAATACCTTGATTTGCTCACACCACATCTCAGTCCATCTGAGCAGCCATAGAATAATTGACAGCCACTTAAAGGCTCATAGTAGCAAGGAGGTAGCCAAAGGTCAATACGAGGGTATTTCAAAAATTTCATGGAAAGATTAGTGGTATTTTTTAATTTTAGTTTTCCATGAACTTTTTGAAGTACCCGTGTATTTTATTAGAGCAGAACACTTTTGCGTTTTCAATTTGAATTTCTTAAAATGTTCATTAATTTTTCAGAAAAATTAACCGAGTGTCTATATGTGCAGGATACTTCTTTTTTTTTTTTTTTTTTTTTTTTTTTTTTTTT